TCTATCTCTATCTCTATCTATATCTATATCTATATCTATATCTATATCTATATCTATATCTATATCTATATCTATATCTATATCTATATCTATATCTATATCTATATCTATATCTATATCTATATCTATATCTATATCTATATCTATATCTATATCTGCATCTGCATCTAATCTACATCTGCATCTACATCACATCTACATCTACAAATACATATATATATATATATATATATATATATATATATATATATATATATATATATATATATATATATATATATATATATATATATTCATACACAAAATACGAATATAGGTTATTCATTTTTGGCCAGATCGGGTTTTGAAAAAAAAATGTTTTTTTTTTCAATTTAAACAAATTACATCAACATTTCATGTGTGTGAGTGCTTTAGAATGTTTTGAAAATCGAAAATCTGTTTTATTTTATTTCTGGCATAAGACCTCTTAAACCCAAATTGGTTAAAACAATATAAAATATTAAAGCTTTGTATAAGTAATGTTGTTTCGTATTATGTTTATTTTTGTTTATTTTTGTATTTATATTATTAATTTAAAATACATTTCCTTTTTATATAATGTTATTCTTTAGTAAGTACTTTATATATATATATATATATATATATATATATATATATATATATATATATATATATATATAAAACTAGTGTAGTTACAAAAAAAAAATTTGGTTGTCATTGAGGTCAAGGCCAAGACTGAACTGAGTTAGAGTTATTTATAGTCATTATGAAACTGTTGTGACGTAGATGATGGGTTTATAGAATTTGACTTGTAAACTTGAAGACCAATGGACAATCTAATTATAGAAACGATGCAATATTTGGTATCGAAATAGAATGGTTTGACATTCTTGACAACACCGGATGTACATCTGCGTGTGACTGTGTGTGTATATAAGAGCTATACTTTTGGGTATGAGGAGAGCCAGACAGAAGATGTAGAGCGAGACAGATGTATGCAGAAACGTAGAGATCGAAGAAGAAGGTTGAAGGGGGGGGGGGGGGGCTGAAAATCGAAAATTTGAAGGGGAGGGGGTGCAAATCGAAAGTTTGAGGGGGGGGGGGGGTTGCAAATCGAAAATTTGAAAGTTGTCCCCGGGAAGGGTCGCTGCGCCTCTGGGGCGGGGGGGGGGGGGTGACACCATTAAGTGCCGCACCGGGTGACACCCGACCTCGCTACGCCACTGGGTCATATATATATATATATATATATATATATATATATATATATATATATGTGTGTGTGTGTGTATGTCTGTTTGTCTGTATCTGAGTATGTTACTGCTTCCGGTCAAGGGAAATTACTCAAAATTTGAAAGTAGCTAGCAAATTAGATCTTTTACTTATATGTGAAATTTCGTTTATCTATCTGAAACAGTACTCAAGCTATAGGCTTTTGAAAAAAAAAGTAGAATAAGTTCCACTTCCGGTTATTGGAAATCGCTGAAAAGATGATACAGAACTACAAATTCGTTATAATACTTATATATGAAATTTTATCAACCTCGCTGTAGCAGTACTCAAGTTATCGTTTTGACATACACACACACACAGACACACACATACATACATACATACACACAGACATACGGACAAAATTGCAAAACTCAATTTTTCGACTCAGAGACGTGTAAAACGTGGAAATTTTTGGAAGTCTCGATTTCGATTTTTTTGCACGATTACAATACTTCCTCTATAGGTCGGATACGAGTAAGTAAAAATGATCATCTATTCCAGGGATCTCCAAACTTTTCAGACCGAGGGCCGCATTTACTATCAAATATCAGTTAGTGGGTCAGAGTTTCTTCAAGGCATATCTTCGGTGTTATGGAGCCCCCCATATACAAATATATACAAATTTCAAGTGCCTCCCCCCAGAGAAAAAAATTGAAAGAAACACTGTCGGGGGCCGACAACACACTCGAGGTCCAAGTTGGCTATCAGATTATTCTTTACGTATTCTATATCTATGTTTGAGCCCATGTGACCTTATTAAATTCGTCATCTTCACCACAGGGTTCAGTACACTGCTAATGTCCATATATTTAGCAGTTAAAGCTTGCTGATGAATAATAGAGTGCAGGAGCATTGGTTGTAGAATATTTTTCTCATTCGCTTGTCCAACCAAGCCTTTCTTTACGACACTAATTTACTTTTCCACATCAACAGTCAGGTAACTGAGGTTAGTCCAGTACAAGTTATAATCAGCAAATGATTTCTTTAACTCATTGAATATATCCTCACCGGTAACAGTACCATGCATATTATGCAGGGAAGCCAGCTCTTGTGTTATGTTCATATCTTCATCCTCACCTCTAATGAACACAAGCAGTTTAGAGGTGGAACAGATGTCCAGCGACTCATCCATTGCAATTAAAAATAGTGAAACGTACTTGCATTTTTCGCTATTTGAGTCATGATGTTTTCACCAATGTCTGCAACACGGTGGGCAAAGGTATTTGCACCCAAAGCTACATTTTCAAATTGTTTTTAATTTTCTGGGCAAAGCTCCTCAGCCACCTCTAACAGATATTTTTTTTCCGTGGACAAAAAGATCTCCGCGGGCCGGATGAGAGGACCTTGCGGGCCGTAGTTTGGAGACCCCTGATCTATTCGGTACAACATACTAATTTTTTGAGCTCTTAAAATTTCGGCAAGAGTATCGTCTTCCGCCCACCCGCTCCAATCGTCTACTATTTTCCTGATGGATAGCGATTCAAGAATGCGTGATATTTATTTCCAATTAATACAGTGATCCAGGCAAACTGTAATCCAAACAAGGAAAAGTATCTGATCTCTCACGTTAATGTTGAGAGAATCGTAAGAATCTTACAAAGAACTAATCGCATCATTTCTTAACAGAACGCGTTGATACAATTGATCTATATCCTAAGTGTTAATCACCGTTCCGGTGTAAATCCTTCCCAATTATCTTGACGAAAAAGCACTTTCCCAACCTTTTTTTTTCTTATTTTACTGTTACACTATACGTTTTAATACAAATGGATTCTTTTCTAAGCGTTAAAAGAGTTATCTACTCATCAATCCAATACAAATCCTTGCAATTTTTGTTGGCGAAATAGCACCCCCCCCCCACACACACCTCCCCACCATCTTGGACTTAGTTGATAGAGCGGGTTTTAACGTAAAGTAACGTAACTAACTTTATGAAAATATTATTATTATACAATCCTACAATACGCTTTAATAATATCACATTTTTTTTAAAGTGATAAATCTTATCTACTCACAAATCCAATGTAAATCCTTGCTATTTTACTTGGTGAAAAAGCCCCCCCCCCCTCCGATCTAGGAAAAGCTGGAAAGCGGTTTTGCTGGACAATGTTTCTTAAGGGTATATATTTTACACAGAGGCGTATTCAGGTTTTCGTTGAAGGGGGAGCGAAAAGAGCAAAAAAAGGCGCCGAATTTTTAACACGTTCTATATACGTGTAATATATATATATATATATATATATATATATATATATATATATATATATATATATATATATATATATATAGCTGTATGTCATTAATTCGCTATGATGTAAAATAAATTGAAAGTAGCACTCTGAAGAAATAAGAAAAAACACACAATGTTGGCCGACAAAACAAAAATTGTATCAATCTAAACAATATATATATAACCAACTCAGAGTGAACATAGCGTCAGTTTTTAGATGACTGTTCTAAACATATATATATATATATATTACACAAATATATATTACACAAATATATATTACAGAAATAGATTTAAATAAGTAGCAGTGGTATTATGACAATATTTTTTTTACAGAGGGGTCCATGGGGGAGGGGGGGGTTGTAACTGTTTCATATAATTTGTAATCGTAATCACTATCGCCCAAACTGTTTCTGTATTGTAATTTTTTTAAAATTAATCACACGATTCAAACTGTATATATAAAGTAATTATGTGTGAAGTTTTATGTATAACATTTTCTAATTCAATTCTTCGTAACCAAATACATTATACAGTTGCCTTAAACTTAACACCCCTCCTGCCAAGTGGTACTACCGTAGAGGTTTTTTTAAACATTGCAATGCATCGTAATGGTTATTTTTAGAACGGCGAACTGATGCAGCTGTTAATACGTGCTGTAAACGTAGACACTACTAGACTAGTACAATAATGCTTAATTGCTGCATGAAAAGAAATTTTGTGATTTGCATAGATGTGCCGACCAAAAGTATTTTTTAACAAATATCATTGTTTAAAACTGTGAGTTTAAAAAGTTTCCAAAAAGGCGCCACTTTGCTGAAAATTGCCAGAGGGGGAGCGGCTGCTCCCCCTGCTCCCCCCCCCCCCCCCCCCCCTGCGTACGCTACTGATTTTACAGTTACACAATCAAGGTAGAAAACAGTTAAATCGGTATGTAAAGGCTGGTAGCCATTAGATTTCTTAACTTAAGACTGTTTATAATTCAAAACTGCAACATAAAATCAGCTTTAAACTTGTTTTTTCACCCCTTTTGGCGCGCCTCACTATAGGATCGGCGCCCGGGGCGGCCCCCTGCAACCTCCCCCCCCCTCCAAAGTATGCCTCTGCCTCTGCGCCCATGGAGAGCCCTCCTTGTGCATGATAAGCTCGACTCACACCACGTGCCGACGAAGATGAAGTGGCCATATCGATGATGGAAGTACGGAAAAAAAGGAAGAATGGATGGAAGAAAGGACTAACACACTACATGGCGGTTTATATTATACCCGTGCTCCGTTACGATAAAAAAAAATGGCGCAATGCTCTCCCCCTAACCTTCGATGTGGTTGTTGTATCACGTCCCTTGTGTATGTGACGCAACCCAATTCACTGCGCTCGGGTGGCGGTAAAACTGTGATGTGAATATGGATATTCAGGAAAATTAGGCTAATGAAAAAAAAATGAGCTGGTTATAAAAATGGCGCAACGCTACACGAATGCCCGTGTTTAAGCTTACCACTTTTTCCAACGCCAGCCATGCCTAAAATTGCAATTTTTGTTTCACCAAGTGAAGATTTTTTCCTCCGCAGATAAGGTTTTAGAGTTGATCCACTATTTGAGCTTGCACTTTCGGCTGAAGAAACTGGACTGCTCATAATTACCATGTGTATCCTAAACAACAGTAGGTACATTATTATATTAAACATATTTTGCATAATTGTAATATGAATACTGAAAGGTTATCATTAACTAATCATTTTAAACTGATAGTATACAAAACGATATATCTATACTAGTAGCTGCATACCCGTGCTCCGCCACGGTAAATCTTTTTTAAATGTACCAACTTGAGAACAGAACAAAACTAAACACAAACACAACGCAACACAAACACAACACAAACGCAAAAGAAAACACAAACACATATGCAAACACCAACGCAAAAAAACAACACAAACGCAACACAGAAACACAAATACAACGCAAAGCAAACACAAACCCATATCGCTCACAGAATAGCCCATCGCGCAAAATCCAACCCTGCCCGGGCACCGGTATCAGGCGCGTCGCCTGATTCAATTTTGTGAACGCCTATAAAAACCCCAGCTTATCCGCAAACCACAAGATAAAGTAAACATAGGGGACATTTAGGAGTGGCTTCTAAACTGTTATTGATTTAAAATAATAATTAGTAAACAGTACGTTCAATGTATAAAATAAATAAAGGCAATACTTAAAAATCCGTGTTTTAACTACCATATAAGCTAATTATATTATTCCATCAATAATGTTGTATAAACGTCCGCAGAATTTGCATTCACATTTTTTCATTAGCGTGAGTTGAATTTATTATTTAAAATACCTCTCCTGGCATAACTGTTAAATATCTATAATATAAGCGGGCTGTGTCTGTCCTTCCTTCCTTCCTTCCGTCCGTCCGTCATCGCTATAGATTTTGGGACTATAAAAGTAAACTACGCACCATGCTGTGCTTTTCAGTGCACCGCAGTGTCTTATTATAAGTATTAGAGTAGGGTTTTTTTTTATATAGCGGCATAGAGCTATTTTATAATTTCCACTGTTTGTACAATTTTGCATAACGTAAAGAGAATATTAAATACACGCACATTGCTAAAACATATTAAAAGGATCAATGCCAAATATCGTTTTCTTTAATATTCCCAGAAAAAGTGGATACATTTCAATAACATAATAACAGTACGGTAGAAAAATCAAATTAATTTAACTCTTTTTTTCTAATTTTGACAAAGGAGGTAATTTAAAAATACATTAAACTCACGCTAATAAAAAATGTGAATGCAAATATACGTTCGTCATAGAAGGAATCAGTGTTGCAATAATATAATTAGCAAAATGTGAATGCAAATTATTCGGATGTGTAAGAGGAAATTATTGTTTGAAAATAATAATTAGCATGGATTGATAACAGGCAATCTTTTATTTATTTTATTCGCTGAATGTAGGCCCTACTGTTTATTACTTATAATTTTTAATCAACTATTCAGACGCGTCATCACGTTCATTAGGTGCGAATGGTTTTAGTTATGAAACTCTATTGTAAATTTTTAAAATTTAAAGTACTGGAAAAAAATGCGTGAATGGATAAAGTGAAATATTGTAGGTAAAACACGGATATTATAGATACTGCCTATTATTTATACTGTTTTCTAATTATTATTCTATCTTTCGGGTTTTATAGGAGAGGCGTAGCGAGGGGGGGGGGGGGCATATGTCCCCGGGTGCCGACCTTAGGGGGCGCCAAAGTGGGTTGGAAAAAATATGCGAGCGGGGGGGGGGTGTGGTGGAAATCGAAAGTTTTAGTGAGGAGGGGGGGGGGGGAACAGGGGTGCAAATCGAAAGTTTGAGGGGGGTGCAAATCACCGGAAAGGGCGCGATTTGGCGCTACGGTCTAGACTGTGAGCAATATGCCTTTATGATTGCATTTACATTGTGTTTATGTTATGAGTGTTGTGTTTGTTTTTTCGTTTTTTTTTTTTTTTTTTTTTTTTTTTTTTTTTTTTTTTGCGTTCGTTTGTTTTGTGTTTAGTTTTGTTCTGATGGTACATTTAAAAAAGATTTACCGTGGCGGAGCACGGGATGCAGCTAGTCTATAATATAAGCGGGCTGTGTCTGTCCTTCCGGACGTCATCGCTATAGATTTTGGGACTATAAAAGTAAATTACGCACCATGCTGTGCTTTTCAGTGCACCGCAGTGTCTTATTATAAGTAATTGAGTAGGGTTTTTTTATATAACGGCATAGAGCTATTTTATAATTTCCACTGTTTGTACAATTTTGCATAACGTAAAGAGAATATTAAATACACGCACATTGCTAAAACATATTAAAAGGATCAATGTCAAATATCATTTTCGTTTATATTCCCAGAAAAAGTGGATACATTTCAATAACATAATAACAGTACGGTAGAAAAATCAAATTAATTTAACTCTCTTTTCTAATTTTGACAAAGGAGGTAATTTAAAAATACATTAAACTCACGCTAATAAAAAATGTGAATGCAAATATACGTTCGTCATAGATGGAATTAGTGTTGCGATAATATAATTAGCAAAATGTGAATGCAAATTATTCGGATGTGTAAGAGGAAATTATTGTTTGAAAATAATAATTAGCATGGATTGATAAAAGACAATATTTTATTTATTTTATTCACTAAATGTAGGCCCTACTGTTTATTACTAAGACTTATAATTTTTAATCAACTATTCAGCACTATTATAGACGCGTCATCACGTTTATTAGGTGCGCAATGGTTTTAGTTATGAAACGTTATTGTAAATTTTTAAAATTTAAAGTACTGGAAAAAAATGCGTGAATGGATAAAGTGAAATATTGTAGGTAAAACACGGATATTTTAAATACTGCCTATTATTTATACTGTTTACTAATTATTATTCTATCTTTCGGTTTGCGGACAAGTTAGGGGTTTTATAGGAGAGGCGTAGCGAGGGGGGGGCATATGTCCCGGGGTGCCGACCTTAGGGGGTGCCAAAGTTGGTTGGAAAAAATATGCGAGGGGGGGGGGTGGTGGAAATAGAAAGTTTTAGGGGGGGGGGACAGGGGTGCAAATCGAAAGTTTAAGGTTGGTGCAAATCACCGGAAAGGGCGCGATTTGGCGCTACGGGCTAGAATGTGAGCAATATGCCTTTATGATTGCATTCAAATTGTGTTTATGTTATGAGTGTTGTGTTTGTTTTTTCGTTTTTTTTTGTTTTTTCGTTTTGCGTTCGTTTGTGTTGTGTTTAGTTTTGTTCTGTTCCCAAGTTGGTACATTTAAAAAAGATTTACCGTGGCGGAGCACGGGATGCAGCTAGTTTTAATTAATTAGTTTTTCGACCCTACTGCCATTAAAATGTATTCCCTTTTTCTATGAACCTAAACGAAAAATATATTTGACATTGATCCGTTTAATATGTTTTAGCGATGTGCGTGTATTTAATATTTTCTTCACGTTATGCAAAAGTGTAAAAACTGGCAACTGTAAAATAAATTTAGATCGTTATATAAACAAATCCTACTCCATTACTTATAATAAGACAATGCGTTGCAATTTAAAATTACTGCGTGGTTAGATGGTTACTTTTATGGTTCCAAAATCTAAAGCGTTGACGGACCGACACACTACCAGCAGCGTTATATTATAGATTATAGATCTATAGATCTATACATCTATAGATCTATATATCTATAGATCTATACATCTATAGATCTATACATCTATAGATCTATACATCTATAGATCTATAGATCTATAGATCTATAGATCTATAGATCTATAGATCTATAGATCTATAGATCTATAGATCTATAGATCTATAGATACAGCTATACCTATACCTATACCTATACCTATACCTATACCTATACCTATACCTATACCTATACCTATACCTATACCTATACCTATACCTATACCTATACCTATACCTATACCTATACCTATACCTATACCTATACCTATACCTATACCTATACATATATATGAAAATATGCTTGTGAGTTTTTTAGTCCTTTATTACACCTTTCATCCGGTTGCCATAAAACTTTGGGGAATAGATGAAAATGCTACAGGAAAGGTTTTTGCGGGGAAAAAACTTTTAGTTCCTAAGTGTTGTCTTCGAGGCGTCCCGGGATTTCCCGAGAGCACTATGGGGCTTACGTTCGTTTTAAAGGGATATGTTCCTTACAAAATCACCAAATTCCACAATTTTCGTCATGATGTTTTCTTGCACTTCTGGATACTTTGTCCATTTTGGTATTAAGTAAAATAATAGACTTAATGAAAAAAAAAATGTGTTTAAAATACCATATTTATAACCCTATTAATTAAAAAATAATCTTTTTTTTTTCTCACCTTACAAGCTCTCTACGAAACGTTTTATATCCGTCATCATAATGTATTTGGCTTCATTGGAAAGCTGCATTTCTCATGTAGGCCTATTTGATAATCGTATTTTCAATAATCTCGGAAACACACAAAGCTTACAATCGGCTTTACAAATTACACATTTCGTGACCTACTTTTCGTTACTTTTTGCTGTTTTTCTCAGTTCGCACTTTTTAACACTAAAAAGCATACTACTTTTTACTTATCAAACAAAGGCAACCATATTTTCAGTAATAGTTCTGCATGCATAAATAAAACTTTTGTCACGAGGGAATTGTGATGACTTTCATAGAAAAAAATTAATTGTAAATAATATGCAAATTTTGAAACTTTTAAATACTAAATTGGGTATTATATTTCAGACCTTGTAAAATTCTGACCAGTAGGTGACAAAATTCTTAATATATACTGAAATATAAGTTGTTTAAATTTGATTGCTATAATAAATGCTTAAATAAAAAGCCTTAGTGTTTTAAACGTACCGAAAAATTCAAAATGGCGGAGGTTTTTTTTCGGGTTTCCATGACAAACGAAATTGTTTTCAACCCTTATTTTGCTGTTTAATACTTATTTCATGTGCCAAACATGGTAAAATTATTCAAAAGGCTTTAGATTTTAAATTGTTAAAAATAGAAAAAAAACGGAGCATATCCCTTTAAAGAATGCGCTACAATATGAATACGATAGGCTACTATAATCGTTCACTAAATCGAATCAGGAGTTGGCCTATCCGCCGGCG